GATAGCATCACTGAAGCAATGAGCATGAAACTGAGCAAACTCAGGGAGGCAGTGAAGGACAGGAAGGCCTGGCACGATATGGTCCATGGGGTCATGAAGAGTGGGACACGACTTAATGACTGAACAACAACAAGAAGGACATTATGGATATTGGTCAGTTTAATTCATCTAGCAGCAAGGAATATACTGACAGAGAGGCATTAGCAGAATTTTCAGGGATAAACTATCACAGGCGTTGATAATTTTAATTGAATCAGTATTCATTATAGAATTATTTAACTACATGTTAAATATTTGCATTTTTTGAACATACATTAATTTATCACTGAAGAATAAGCAATCTGATGCCTTCCAAATATTCTGGACCACTCTCAGTCAACATGGGCAGTCCAAGAGATTGTGGTAACTGCAATTCCAAACCTCCAGAAAGCTTCAGGGTGTCTCCCTGTTCTAATCTAATAACAAGATATCCAGGAAACCGATAAGGTCTGCTTATTCTGCTTATAAACATAAGACAAATATATGAGCTCACCTGTTATCTGTCTCAGCACACTTGCACCAGTCAGAAAGTGGAACCCTTTTATCACCTGGCTTCCATTTGTACAAATGAATCTTCCCACATTCTGTCCCAATTGCAATTATGAAGCTACAGAAAAGAAATAGGTGTGTCAGGTGTTAAAGCAAGTATTTTCCTCTGTCATGTATACTTAAGTTTTGGAAGATGTCCCACATTTTAATCACCATTTCTACTCAAGAAAGCATCACAAACTATGAGGGATAAGAGATACTACCCAAGAAACTTCTGCTTCTTTGTGGTAGTCAACTTTGCCCCATCGGAACTCTGTGACTATGGCAGAGTTGGCCGACACATTCACTAACAGCTGCTATAGCGAGCCAGAGAACAAAACCATTTACCAAAAGGCAAACTTGTTTTCCACCAACGCTCTGGTCTCCTCAAATGTCCTCAGCTGATCTTTATCTTTTTCTGTGCAGGGGAGCACCTTTCAAGCAAAGCTCTGGCTGCAGTCATTCACAATGTCTATTCTCTGTGAATATCTATCCAATTTGAGACATGCTTGGGAAAAAAAGATTGTGTTGGAGCTCTTTGTATCAGGGACAGCAGGGAGCCTGATGGGGGTCAAGGAAGGCATCCACTGGCACATTGGTATCCACAGGCAACAAGTTATCTATTCTTGAGTTAATGAGTTTTCAAGTCCTACACAGAGCTGAACTGGATTCTTAGGAATATACAGTGCATTCCACACATACACCTTCATTGCCATACTTTGCAAAGTCTATCAATTCATAGTATGTACTGTATGTCCTATAGCAAAGCCTGTGGGTATACCTGATTAAACACAGATAAACTTTGCTAAGATGCACATTTTTATATGAATATATAGTTAGGGAAAGCATTCCCTGAGAAGCTGCAAACTAGGAGAAACAGGAATGGCTAGGAGCAGTATAAGAAAGATGACCACTGTCAATCTGTTTTTCCTTGGCGTAACGCAAACAACAAAATGTGTTATGTCTCATTATTATGTTCAGTCTTCCCTCAGCCCATTTCCAATGTATTGCTTGCCAAATATGATATCATCTTAGATCATGCATTATTTTTAATAAACACTGAAGGAGATGTAGTTTAGCAGCACCTATGAGAACCCCCCCTCGCTGAAAATGGTATTTTGTTTAACCTTAACCTAGATAAATGGCAGCGGGATAGACGGGATATAGAAGTTATTATATAGTTAATCAAATCATTAACTGGTCACATTAAGACAGGTGTGGGCAATCTTTTTCTGTCAAAGTCTATATCACCTCAGGGATAATGGGGGGGGGGGAATGGGTGGTGCCAATTTTCAGACATTCTCCTTTTCCCCCCGATCTTTCTGTGTTACCCTCTTTTATCACTTCCCAGCAGTTGGTTGTCAAGAGAGGGACCCAGAGCTGTTACAGAGGTTTGGATTTGTCTCCAAAGGGTTTTTATCATTAGATCAAAGGCCTCATGAAATTAAATTGAGGGAAACATGACTGTTATCTATCCTGCTCTAAAGAAAGGTCTGCATCTATTTATGGATTATTTTTAAAGAGGAAAAAAATCCCCAAACTCTAAAGAGGTACATAAATATTTGCATAAAGTTATAATCATGATGGCCTCATCTTCATATATGTAACATTACACCTAAATGGCATAAGGCTTCCCCCCTCCCAACTTAGGATAGCCCCCTTCTCCTCCTATAGGGCCTAAGGATACAACAGATCATATGCCATTTGACCATTATGACCTGAGAAAGCACAGTAAATAAAAACCACTCTAAAGCACAGTGCACATTGGAGATTTCTGGCTTGATTTTAGGAAGCTGGCCAATATGGAATACTCTTACTCAATGTGTAAACAAATGACTTATCCAAGAATACAAGTAGTACATACCTCCCATCAGAAGCAAGTGTATGACTAGCACCAATTGCAGTGACTGAATCGCCAACATCCAAGACTGGTGAACAAGCCTGGATTGGGCCCAAGTCCTTATCTTTAGTCTCCTCTGCTAAACATTTACCCCAGATCATGACCTGATTAGTACAAAAGTCAGTCACATTGAAAATGGAACATTGCAAAGCTTATATGTATACCACTATCATAAAGGAAGTTGAAAGAGATTAACTGTCCTCCCCAAAAGAAAGAGGGGTTTCGTGAGCCCAGAATCTTAAAATCCTATTTTTCACACCTACCCCATTCCAATTCAGCTGAATACACACTGATGGTGAGCTCTCCAAAGGACATAAAACTGTATATGCAGTTCAATGCTGTTATTCACCCTGGCTCTTAAGATAAACAGGGTATAATTCCATATAAACAGCAACACTGAGAGCAGTTATAATAAACTAATAATTCATATACATCAACAGGCTATATAAAAACATCATACGTGAGAAATACTGAACGAATGCCTTTCTATTTAGCCATATAATGCTGAATTTCATAAATCCACTTGCCTGCTTCAAGCAGAGTTCCTTTTCATCCACCCAGAGAAACTTTTCACTACCTTTCTGCTAAACCTCTAACACGGCTTGCGTTTTTCTCAAAAGACTAGCATGAAAGCAAATGCCCTACCCTACCTCAATTTTTTGCAGAGGAAATGAAGAAAGGGGAATCAACAGCAACTACAATTAACAGCCTGTTAGCATGCTAAGCCAAAATTTGCCAACCCCTCTGTATCTGAACCATCACTTAGAAAGAAGAACATACTGCATTAACAGTTTTGGTTAACACTGTCCAGTGGTATCAAGAAAGTCAACCAAAGATACTGTGGCATACGTTTTTGTGGGCAAGAATATCAGACAAGGAGGACATTCACCCATTTTTGTGGGAGTATGAAGCTTTTTCTGACTGCAAGCAAATTCAATGGAGCAGTAATTTGCTGTTTGTCAGCATAAGCCCTAAAATAACCTTAATAACCAATTAAAAATCAAAGAAAAACCAGTCACTCCCTAAAAAGAAAAGAAAAGAAATCCCAGCCAACCCTAACCCTTAGATCTTTCAAAAAAATTAGGTATGGGCCAGAGCAATCAAAAGGTTGTCCATCCCTGGTATCTCCTTGCCCACACTGGTAGAATTGTTACAGCTTAACATGACTACACTGTGAGTAATTGTTCAAATAGTTAAATGGAATGAAAGATAGCCAATGGACATAAAGGAAGAAGTCACAGAATGCAAGAAAGAGATTTGTCTGACTATAGTTACTTCATTTACAGTATATTTAAAATTGGAGTGTCTTCTTTAAAACCAAATAATACTATAATCTGAAACATGTTCAAAGGCAACAGCTGTATCTATAAGATTTTAAACTATTTACAGACCAAACACTGACTTACATATTACCCATTTTGCCTTGTAAAAATGCTTTTGAGGATTCCTGGGGAAATCGGGTTAGGAGAAAGTAAAAAACATTCCAGGTTGTTCACTCTCAGCTATTCTTACATGTTTACATGAAGTACATCATGGGAATCCTAAAGCAAAACTAGAGAAAAAACAACCAAAAGGCAGCCTTTGAAATGCCTTACCTTTTTGTCTCTGCTTCCAGTAATAAAATAATTGCTATCTGGGGTCCAGTCACAAGTCCAAATGATACGACTGTGCACAGCAATGTTCTTCTCTGTATAAGCAAAGAGGCTGAAGGCTGGTTCTGTAATGACAGATCAAAGACAATATCCTTTCTTATTGCAGCAAACAGACAACTTTCCAGAAAATCACACTGCATCAAAAATAATGAGAGGTTATCAGAAATCTAAAGTTGGGGTGCCCTCCCATCTCCTCCTGTGCTTCAGATGGCAAGGCACCTCCCTTTGCAATGATGTAGAGGCTCCCAGGTGTTGATGCACTTGGATCAGAAGTACTTTAAGATTATGCAGCCTAGGAAAATAGATCTTGCTAGCAGAAATATTTACTCCCATCTGGGCACTGCTGATATATTCAGTTCAGATTGTTCTCATATCTCCTCTAAAGAACCCCTGTGAGAAGATAAGGATATACTATGAGACATGCCAGGCAAAGCTCAAAAACTAAGGCAAGAAATGTTTGGGCTCAGACCACCAAGAGCTAGAAGTTCCCTCTCCTTGGTTGGAAAGAGGCCAAAGCCACTTCAAGCCTAGAGAAAGCAAACATTTGCAATCTCTCTCTCTCACACACACTTTTTTGGGGGGGTCTCTTCTCAAGTAAGGACTTTTCCCCCATACTTTCACATCTTTTTGAGTAAGGACTTTATTCCACATATTAGAGGAGGGTCTCCTACTCGGGAGCCTACTGGCCGGAAGTGGATGCATCCGTGTGGTCTCAGAAGCTCAGAACAACCAGTGCTGGAAACAGCATTCTTCTATCAGTCTCTGATACAGCCATATTCTTGATCACTCTTGGCCTCTGGCTTTTGACCTTTATACCAACTTTGGCCCTGCTTTCAGACTAGAGATGCTGTTTTATGCTTCCCTATTCCTTTGAGCTTGGCAGCCAGGCTTAGCCAGGCTTTGCATTCTGTTTTATTTCCAGTGGGTTCTTATTGCTTTGCATTCTTGCTCTGATTGTCCTCATCTGTACTTGTCTCAAAACAAGACAAAATCTACACATCTTTGTATAGATCTATAGATCGCAGTCTACAGATTAATGAGCATCATTAAATTCTGCCAAACCCCATGCAATATATTCAGTTCTTTCAGCACATTTATCTTCAATTTCTGTCTTGCCTTCAAAGCAGTCAACGTTACAGTGTTATATTTCTGGAAGCCAACTCTTTCATAGACATTCTACTCAGAAATCAAGTGATTCATTATGTATGTACATTAACAAGTATCAGATACCATCTTTCCATCAATGAAGTGGCAGCTGTGTCACTAATGGGGTCAATAAAGTTGTCATTACGTTTAGCAATCGCTTATCATCATAAGGACATCATTAACATAAAAATACTCTAAGTTTCCAGTGGTGTCACTTAATAGTCAAATTACAGCCAGAGCTGTAAAATGCAACATTTTAAGGCAGAAATGTTCAAATCCTGTGATGCTGATGACTCCCTAAAATAGCTTAGAGGTGAAGCAACAGGGAGACCCATTAGCCACAGAAGTTCACTGGATAACTTTGAGCCACTCACTCTCTCAAACCAACCTACCTCACAAGGTGGTTGCTTTGGGGAAAAATAGAAGGAGGGAACACTTTATACACTGCCTTGAAGAAAGGCAGAATACAAATCAAATTAATCAATAATAAAATTTGTGTGATAAATATACCGTTTACTTTTAGTAATTTTTAATCTCTATATCTAATAAAACAATGACAGAACCTTACAGCTTTATAAAATAAAACAATTTCATTTGAAATATAAAAAAACTGGGCTTCGTTTCATTTATTTATTTAAATAAATTATCCATGGATCTGCCCATTTCACAACAGTGACTCTGGGTGGCGTACAAAAATTAAAACCACCAGAACAGTATATAACATATGACACCCTGGTTAAAACAACAGTCCCCCACATAAAAAAGAGGGAAATGATCAACAGAGCTCACCTAACATCATGGCCCAAATGCCTGGAGGAACAGCCAAGTCTTCATGGCCTTATAAAAGGCTTAACAGGGTTGGAGCCATCCAGCTCTCCAGGAGATGGTGTTCCACAGGGCAGGTACAGCCACAGAGAAGGCATGACTCCAGGGTCCAACAAGATGGCATTACTATATTTGATGAAAAGGACCCAGAGCATACCCTCCCTGCTAGAATTGGTGGGGTGGGCAAAAACAATGAGTCCTGCAAATAGCCTGTCCAATGCCTTGTAGGGCTTTATAGGTAGTGACCCTGAATTGGGCCCAGAAGCTTACTGGGACCTAGTGCAGCTTGGGGAGCAGTTTTTATATAAGCATATCAAGAGAGACAAAAACTGCCCATTTTGGACCAGCTGCAGCTTCCAAATGGTCTTCAAGGCAGCCCGATGCAGAGTGCGTAACATTAATTCAAACAAGAGGTGACTAAGCCGGGAGTCAGCATGAGCAAGGCCTCCCAGTCCAAGAATGGGTGCAACTGGTGCACAAGACAAACCTGTACAAAGCCCACCCCCACCCACCCCAGCTACAAGCTGCTCTTCAAACAGGAGCTGTAAGTCCAGGAGGAGTCCTAAATTACACATGAGCTCTGACTGAGGAAGTACATCTCCAGGGAGAGTTAAGATGGAAAATCTCAAGAGCTGGGGGGTCCTAAAACCCACAGCCGCTCAGTCTTGCCAGGGTTGAGCTGAAGTCTATTCTCCCCTACCTAGACCTCCATAGCCTTCAGGGGAAAAAGTCACCCTCTCATTTCAAGTGGTGACTAAAGCCTGTACCAGAGCCCCAGGAACAACCCCAGGCTCCTTCTGGAACCCAATAGGGTCCATCAGGTACCTGAGACGGACTGTTCGAATGAGACAGCCACTCTCATTCATCAACATCAAGGGAAAAAAAAGAATGTTTCCTTGCCTTAACTCAGCTTCTTTTAAATTACTTGCAAAACACTAGCAAGCTGTAAGATGCTTCGGGCACTCTTTCTCCCAATGCAACTAGACTGAGATAACAATCATGCCCCCCCCCCCCGCTTTCAGCTGGATGCTCACTGCTTGTAAATTTCCCCCTCACTCTTGCAATTTCTTCCTCACTGCAAGCCATTGCCTTTCCTCCACTTAATTCCCAGTGCAGAGTGGATGTCAGGTCATATGGTCAGAGATTTTCATAAAAACCTCATCCACTCCCACATGATTACTCCTTTTTTGACAGGCAAATATGGTGTGTTAAAACAAAACAACTCTCAACCTTCGCTGGATTCAGCATACTTTTGCATGAAACCTAATTTCTGATGCTGATTCCAACTACCACATATTAAGGAAGGCATTGGATTTGCAGAATTCAAATTAATATTTCTGCTTTAAAAAAGCACATTAGCCTAGAGCTGATATATTTATTTTCCCATGCATTAATATCAATGAGAGAAAGCACTAAAAAAAAAAAAAAACAGATATGGGGATGTATTAGAGCAACCACTACACTGCACAGAAGGCTTTTCCAGATATTGGAACTGTTGGATGAGACCTCAAAGCAAAGCAATGCAACTGTTTCACTTTTAGAAATGGAAGGACAGAACTACTTTGAAGCCTCTGTCAAATTAAAAGAACCCTTCAACATTTTGTATGTCCCCGTCCTCAATTTCTTAGAAACGCCATTCACAAAAAAGAAATACAATCTTAGGAAGGAACTAAAATATATTCTTTAAAAAGTTGTTTTAGAACCCTGTTCTTAAAACAGTTTCCATCAATTTTCAATCACAATCTTACCTGATTCCGTTGGATTGATACGATTAGATTTCCAAAGCGACCAATTCCTATCTCTTGAAACTGCTAGCAAGAATTTATCATTTGGGGAAAAAGAAATCTGCGTGACTGTCAGATTGTGGAAAGGTAAGCTCTGCAATTGTTTCCAAGTTGTGGTGCTCCACAAAATAATGGCTGCATATTCTTTTTTAGAAGCCTGTAAAAGGGAAAAAGGCAGTACTGAAAACAAGCAGACACAAACTTGAAAAAGGACCTGAGGCCACACCAGAACTGGAGCTCTTCAAGTGTGTTTAATCATAACTGGTGCATAACAGAAGGAATGCACCAAGCTGGGGCTAACAGGCGTTACAGACCAACAACCTGTTGGGCATGAGGTTGTGGAAGGTTAGTGTAATGGCTAAAGGGGTAGGAAAACAGACAACCCATTTTCTTCTGATTAAAAAACATTCTCTTGGCAAGAATCTTGCCTACACTTTAGGGTTTTGTTTGTTTATTGTTATGACTGTTTTATGCCTCTTCAATCATTTGACTCTAAGTGGTTTACAAGCAAGAACAGGTAAGTACCCAATAATATAGGGATCAGGAAAAAAAATGGCACTTATATACAAACATAAAATCAAAGTATTGTGTATCATCAAACAGCAGACATTCATCACATACTCAAGTATTTCTACCCACTCTCATCCCTGTCCTCAAAAACACATTGAAAAGGCGTTTGTTTCTAAAAGCTTCCTGAATGTTAAAAAAATGAGAGTGGGGTTCTTACATCTACAGGAGGGGAGTTCTTACAAAGAAAGCTCAAGCCCCAATCCTCTCTTCTTGTACCTCATGAGGAGTGGGAACTCTCAGCAAGTATCTGGGGCAGGGGGGCAGAGTCTATTTGGAATGCGCAATCTTGGAGGTTGCCTTGAAGTGCACCTGGAAACAAACTGGCAACCAGAGCAGCTTCTGCAATATTGGTGTTACGTGGCAATAGTGGGCTGCCCCAGTTAACATGCAGGCCACTACATTTGGTTCTGGGTGGCTTTCACAGGCAATCACACACAGAGCACATTACACATTACAAGGGCATAGCTAGTACCTTCTACTCTAGAAATGGTTGCACTGGTGCATAGCTAAAGCTTCATGAAGAACCTCCTAACTACAGCTTCCACCACCTGTTCCCACAGGAGTTGAAAGTCCAGAAGCATCCTCAGGCTGTGTATCAGTTCTTTCCAGGGGAGCACCACCCCATCCAGAGCTAAAGCTGCCATTGCTACAGAGTCAGTTTTGGAATCCACAGCCACTCCATGCAAGGGATGAGTCTTGACCTGCTTTTCCCCACCCAGACATTAGCAGCCTCCAGGGACTTCTATCACCTCTCCCATAGGACCTGGGTTAGAGATGCATATTGAAGATACGGACACCAACTTAAGTGGCTTTATGTAGATGTTACATAAGGTGAGAGAGAGGGACAAGCCCTGAAGTTTTTCATCTTGGACTGCCTAAGGACTCAATTTTTCTTCTGTCAGGCACACTGACTGGAAAAGCCATATCAGAAAGATGAAAGAACAATGTTCTTAATTTATAAATCTCACAGGTGGTCCAGAAGAATACTGTGGTTAATGGTATCAAAGGTTGCTGAAAGATTTAGTGGGATTAGTAGGGGTGCATTCCCCCTCTCTAAGCTTCATCATAGGTCATCAATGAGAGCAACCAATGCAATTTCTGTCTCACACCCATGCCTGAAACCTAAATCGAAAGGGTCCAGATAATATCTTCCTTCCAGAGCCCTTTGTACCTGGCCACCACCTTCTCAATTAACTGTCAGTAAGTGGAATTATGAAACTGGGCAACAGTTGTCCAATACAACTAGGAGTAGGCAACAACAAGGCATTTCCTCCTCCCATGATGAAGACTTACAACGATGCAGTGTTCTCTTCCTGGGAGTCCAACAAGGTGGGATGTGACTAGAACTCATAGTGTTAGCTCCACTAGGTAGACCAGGCCAGGAAATCAATTCCACAGGAAGGCTAAAACTACTTTTGAGACTGGCTATAACAACAATCTTGCAAATCTGATTGTGCTGTACCTCCTTCCCCTTTCTTATACTTCAGGGAATTAGAGAAGTGCCTGAGTCGCTTCCAAATGTTATCTCATTGGTCTGGACTTAAAAAATGTTTCAGTCCCTTTTGCCTAGGTAATGGTTTCTGTATATCTTTGTCAAGGTCATCTTCCTTACTCTCTACACATAGTGGCACTGCTCATCTCCCAAAAGATCTCCACTTCTTCAGGTTCAACAGATTCAGACTCTTCCCAGATAATGCGATTAGACATTACCCCTGGCACCTCTTAGGATTCTTTCAGGATGGCTTCTAACTCTGAGCCGATGCAAATGATTTTGTCTGTGAAGTACTCTGCTATAAGTGTGTCATCTGGCCCATCGTTCCCTAGCAGTGTCCAGGTACATTTCTTTATTTGCTTGTTTATTACATTTGTACTGTGCTGCAAACAAAAATATTTCTGATATATCATTTGTTTTTCCATCCCAATAGTCTGATTAACCGTTTCCCCCCCCCTTCCCTTGTAACAAATTGATTAATTTCTAAGGTACATTTTGAAACATCAGTATTAAGACTGGAATAATACACATTTTAATGGCACAATCTCTCCTTATCAAGAACTAATTGTAATTCTATGAACAACAACAACAACAACAACAACAACAAAATCCTACAAGTGATTTCTGCTCTTTCTATCCTGGGACAGAATACGACTTGCATCAAAATTGTCAGGTCTGCCTTGGCTTTTGGAAATCTTTTCATTTTGCCATGAATGAATACACTGTATACCACGGATAGAAAATATGTGGAATCATCCATGAAATATTTTTTATCTAGGCAGCATTTTTATCATGATTTTTTAAAAAATGTATCTCAGCTGTGGTCTCTCATCTTCACCTTTTTTAAAAAAATGAATGTCTCAACAATGAAATCAACTGTCCAGGGTTGCTCCTTCTTAACTGCTGGGAGCATCAACATCCAGGGGCCACTGCTTTTAGACTTGAGGGATTCTTAATACATTTGGACACGGGGGAAGCAGAATGGTGGACTACTGGAACATTATAGGATTCTTCTGTTGTCCCTAAGACCATCCAACACATTGAACAGCCACATATTTAGCACTTTGGATGTGAATTTCAATGCTACTGTTTAAAAATATTTTCTTACCTTACATGCTGAGGCTATCACAGTGTTTGCATTATTGCAGGCAACACAAAAAATTTCATAACTATGTCCATATCTAAAATAATAAAGAAAATCACGTAATAAAAGGAAAAGTAACCTCAAGTGCAAGATTCATACATTATTAATCAATTCAAATGTTTTGAAACTTGTTAATCTTCAATGAAACAATTTACCAGTCCAAGGAATCCATGCACTTTTGCTACAAAAGTACTGCATATTTCAGAAGCCTGGACATTTCTTAGGATCCACACAGTCAGCCCCACAAAATAGACCAGGCCAAGAGTCAACTCCACAGGAAGACTAAGATGACTTTTATTGAGATTGGCTATAATAACAGAATCTTGCAAGTCTGATTGTTCTGTGTCTCCTCCCCTTCTTACACCCATGTGAATTAGGGAGGTGTCTGAGCTACTTAACACATACTTTCTAATTGTTTTGGACCTAAGCCATGTTTTTCTCCTCATTGCTTTGGTAACAGATCTGGCCTATCTCTGTTAAGGTCATCTTCCTTATTCTCTGCCCACACCCTCATTTCATGCATACCTGTTGGGCATCACTATCATCATTCATGAACTGAAGAAGTACTCCAGAGTACAACCTATATTACCCTACATTGTAGCATCATAGAATAATATATTAACCACATTTCAGAAAGATGTGTTTGGCTTTTCAGATCATATCTTTGAGCAACTGCTAACAACTCTCAAAAGAACTGTGGAGTTTTTTGATCCACTGCTTGGAAAAAAACCCACATTAACATGTATTACAGTTAATTAATGAGTTCATCTGCCTGAAGTCTGAACAGTATAGAACTACTGTTACTTATTCTTTTATTTTGTGCTATCTCTCCCCAAGACTCCTTGGGAATTTTTCTATCATAAAGGAAAAGTTCCATTTTAGGTATCTTTTGTTTTCTAGGCACTGTTATCTATTGCCTTTTTTTCTTGATAGGTACTTTGGGCAATGCATAGAAAGAAATTAAAAACTAATCATAAAAATAGCCAAGACACAGTACAAGAAGCTAGATTCACTATGCCAATATGAAATAATGGTTAGAAATGGATTTGTGACTTTTTTGGAGCAAACTATAACAGCACTCAGTGTTATATGATAACACACTGAAGATTCTTCAGTGAAGTATGGGAAGAAAACAGCACTTTTGGAGAAAAGTAGACTTGTACTTTTTCCTAAGTTTTCTATGTTTCTATACAAAGAAGCTATATTATACTGTCCAAATCCTACCTACAGTCACTAGTTCAGCCCAGAAGAGGTTCCTATGATAAAAATGAAACAAATTTCTCTTCTTGAATCTATGAACATGAGACAAAAAAACCCCCTTCACGCTGGCATGAACCATGGTCTAGTCAAGTTGCATTAATAGAACATCTATTGATTTCATAGGTAGAACATGATAGATAGAAGTTGATGGTCTTGGACTAGGACCAGAAAGAAACAGGTTGAAGCCTCCTTTGACCAGGGGTAACTTTCAGCTCACTTCTGAGGGTTGTTGTTCTGAGGAAAAATGGAGTAAACTATATTGCCTTAAGCTCCTGGAACAGAAAATTCAGATTTATGTCAACGTTTCTTGTCTGGCTGTGTATATGGCCATACATTGTATATGGCTGTGTGCATGTGTGTTAAATAGACAATTAAATTTTTGTTATGCTTCAGTTTTTGTTTTTTGTGAGGATCACACATTTCTGAAGTCATAATTCTGTGCATTTCAGATGAAGGACTGTATAAATGTGTGTGTGTGTGTGTGTGTTTGTATGATTAGTGTTAGCTTTTAGGTGTATAATACCATTAATTTGGACTTTTCAGCTTGCATTTTCTTTACAATTCAACTGCAGTGTGACAAATGTACTGACAGGGGCTGACCTAGTGGCCTGAATGGCTTCTATCCACATGATTCTATAAATTGCCAAAGAATTTGTAAGACAAAAAATTACCCTAAAATAACATTAACTTTGTACCTTGAAATTAATAAAGAACTTTTCATATAAAAGTAATTTAACCCTTGTAAAAAGCAAAAAGGGGAACAAATAAAACATCAGCATTCTTAACCATCTATATTACTAAATACAAAACCAAAAAGTAGAAAAATAACACTTAACATATTGATGGATATTTACAACTCATATCTGTACAACAGAACAATTCATTAAATAAACTGCAACATCTTAGCAACCAAAGAAAAGTTGAAAGTCAGTTTGACTATCTGGATGTATGGGATTTAGCATATATTTACAAAGTGAGTAAGCTTCCACGCATTTTTCATACTGTAGGTTGGTCACTTATGATTATCCCAGAGTCTTCTTTTCCCTTTTTTTCTCTCTGACACAAAACACAGAGAATTTAGCCAATATATTAACAAGATGAGTTGAAAACTACCAATGAATATTTGTCAACTTGCTTAATATATAAAAGGAGATAATCCTCAAAAGACTTGACCTCAAGAGACTTATGGAATGACACTTCGACTTGGATCTGCAATCCAAGGTAGATCATAAAGCACCATTGTAATATGAGTATATTGACTGGTGAACAATTTCACTGCTGACTTTTTACCAGCTGAATTTTCCAAATCATTTTCAAAGTCAACATCATATATTACATTAATGATTCAAACAAGTATTTACTAGGGCACAAATAACTGAAGCAAAGCTATCTCTCTGCAGATGTAACTGTGCAGTTGATATATCAGCAGAACTGATACAAGGTTCTCTTGCTCATCAGCAAGACTATTTGGGCCTCCAAATGACAATGAACCACAATTTTGGGTATACAGTAGATTATTGTGGAACAGAACTTTCATAATCACACAATGTCAAACTAGTGTCTTTTAATAGCAACCATTTATACATGTAGCTAGGAGCTGTGAAATGTTAATCAAGTGATATAAGAAGGTATAGATGTGTGAACCATTCCTTATTCATGCTAAGGCAAATGGTGATAATCTAACATCTGGCAGTATCAGATGTACATAGAGAATAACTGAAACAAAATTCCAAAATTTGTACAGGGCATCTGATTACAAGCATTAAACACATCTGCATAAACAATGCAACTGACATTCTATTTTTAAAAAATATGACCTACTATAGCTATTTCAAAGTTCATAGTTTTCACAATTTGATCTTACAAATATTTCAATAGATTCTTATACAACATTATTTATTTAAATATTTATAAAAATTAAAAAAATAATTTTAAACTATGATGGTGAGGCTTCAATATTCTCTTACAGGCATGCAATTGCTAAATGGTCTATTTTTGGACAATTATTCCAAACTTATCTATTTCTCTGCTGCTATGGCAACTTTTAACCTACATTTTACATGATTGCACGTTGCTTCTTTCAAGATTCTTTCAAGATACAAATACAATAGGGAACCAAAAATATTTTCTTATTGCTTGTCAAAATACCTGGGTAACTTCAAACATGTACAGTAAAACTGAGTTTTAAAAATCATTTGGCTTGTTAAACTAACTAGATCAATTAAGGTCTGTTATAATTAGACCCCCCCATCAGTCTTCTCTTGCAAGGAATCAGCTGAGAGGTTTATATTGGTTACAAAACAATTCAAACCACTGTAACTTGCTGAGAAAAGAACGTCATTGTGGCAACTATCCAAGAGGAGAAAAGTCTTAGTAAATACTGACTTACAGGGAGAGATTAGATCACAACTACCCAGCACCTCTCTTTACTAATTTTATAATGTCAGCAGGATAGATTCTTCTACACTGCGTCAGATACTTTCCATTAGTTTCCAATTTCCTTATTAGTGTTCAAACAGAGAGGCAGAAGTGTTATTTTTAAATAAATTCTCAACTACTTATATCTAAACAAAGTCTGGGAATTTTTGATAAAATAAGACAAGAGCTCAAGTGGGCCAGAAAAGGCAAAATGCAATTTTAAATTCATGCTTTTCTTATGGGGTGATGAAAATGTGAGAGGCAAAACCAAAATCAGACAACAATTTCTCTTACTGTCAGAAACCTATATTGGATTCAAGTGGTGTAAACTGGGGAGAGATATTTTCTTCTACAGACTCTCTGTATGGAGTGATACAAAATCTCTGCAACAGCAGGCACTGCCTTCTTTGGAGGTAACAGCAGGAAGACCGCGTGCAGAAGGCCATCTACGCCAGTGAAATGAGATCTGGTAGTTGACAACTTATTTTCTAACTTAAACTCTGGCAATATAGGATTGCTAAAGGTCTTAGTACAAGAAGCCGACCTACTGAGGCATAACCACACAACTGTTCAGGCACAAGCAAGTATGACAATTTCAGGGATTCTATCTTTATAAGCTGTTGTGTGATATCCACATCACAATGCTCACGGCCATCTCTCTTGGTGCTCACCTAACCCCTCCCTCACTCAGCGGTAAACATTATTTTGATTCTAAACAAAAATTTTAAATGCTGCCAGGCAAAGCAACAGCCGCCGGTTTGTTAGAGTTTTTAGAAAATAAAAATGGTGAGCAGCTGCAGCTCAGTGATTTGTCGTAAAAAAAAGGGGGGTGGGCGGGCCAAGATAAGATAGGGACTGACGGTAAGTATCCAGGATCAAACCAATCCAGCAACAGACACAGTTAGAAAGAATGGCAGGGCGCCACTTCACCAAACTGTCTTTTGGTGTCTTGCAACTAACCCCACTCATTGTGGCAGCCATTTTATAATGAGACTACACACACACACACACTCACTCAACTATTTTCTTCCTTATAAGCCAGTGCTAGGTTAGTTATCTGAAGGCATCTACTTTCACCTGGACAGGATTGTGCCATTCAGAAGATGGGAATTCCTGTTTGTCTTTTTTCCTGGAGATTTTGCTGTGGAAGAAAGTTTCTAAATCAACCTGTTATGAGGGATTTGTCAGCCCGTAAGGATATCCTGGAGGAAATCTGCTGGACAGCTACTGGGCACTGGTTTAGCCTCCATGTAGTTGCTGATCCCACTTCTGGAAGGAAGGTCTTTCAAGGAGTATTCATCTCCTAAAATATTTAATCATCTACAAATGTTCCTGTTTGGATACTTCAAATTCTTCACTCTAGTAAAAAGAAGGAAATTTTCTTACCTCAGATCTCCTACGAGTTCTCGGTAAGAGTAAAGAAAAAAAATGTTCTGTTGTTGTTGCTTTAATGAGATTGATTTGTTTTTTGGAATTACAAATCACATTTGAGAAGAGTAATCAAGGAAATTCTTCTCTGTTAAAACAGCTGGGTTTTATTATCTGGCTCACTGAGAGTTATATAAGTGCAAGCTTAAGAAGTTGGATTTTTTTTTAATTTAATTTAATACTTTGGAGCCTTAGTTTCTACTCAAATGAATATTCAAGTAACAAGGATTAAAAAAACAAAATGCAAAATATTAAAATCCATAAATTAAAATTTATATTAGAAGTAACCCTTAATTTAAGTTTACTGAAAAACATGCATCTTTACAGATTTTTTTATGTACAGAAAAAGTAGGGGCCAAATACAATTTCCAAGAGAATGTATTCTATAGGCTAGGAGAGAATGATCTTCTGACAGCAGGGCCCTCTTCAAAGGACCTCCCCTACAGTTCTTATTAATTAGATAGATTCGTAATAGGAAAGGCAGTCTCTCAGATGGGCCATTTAGGGCTCTAAAGGCCAATAACAATTCCTTCAATTGTACCATGTAAGGATTTGACAACCAGTACAGATTATCATGGGATCCCTGGATCTTGTACCAGTTAGCAACTAACTGCTGCATTTGTTATTAAATGCAATTTATAGATACAAGTGTAACCTATGTAATTCCATTTAGAGTGATTGCAATAGTCTGGACAATCAAGATACAGATAACTATTATCAAGTCCAACAACCGCTGCAGCTGGAGATCCAGCTGGAAAGGTGCTCCATACTATAGCCACTATCTGTGAATCCAGTGACAGCAGAGAACAGAGAAATACTCCCAAGGGGAGAATGATCCGATCCAAAACAGGCTCAATCTCAATCCCCAAGTGCAGTTTCCCATTTATCAATAGCATCTGTCCCTTGTTTGGATTTAATTTCAGCTTGTTCTTCTCATTCAACATGTTCTTCCTCTTTGGAGAAATCACTGTTTTGGGACAGTAGTGGTGTGGAAGGCCAGGCATTCCTTTGCTGCAGAAGAGTCTTGCTGATGAGAGCAGCAATGCCAATAACTGCTTAACTGTGGCCTTTATTCTTCCCAGAACAGGATGCCTGCAGTAAGGAACATCCTGTTTCTAAACTGTCACTGAAATATGAGGCTCACTGGTTTTAATGGTATGTGGGAATGACCTTGGGAGGCAGGAGGAAGAGCTGCAGTCTAGACAACCATCATGTAAAAGGTACTGTATCTCAGCCTACAGAAGGAAAAGCGGCATGGGAAGCATCTCAGAAGAAATCCTAATTTTCCAGAAAGTAAAAGTAAAGGAGGGGAGAAATACTTTCAGACTTGCAAGATTCTATTATTGTAACCTTACAATAAAAGTAAAGCTAGTATTCATAGTTTGTGCTTCTTGTCTGGACTACCTCAAGGGCTGACATTGGTCTACTTCTACCCAATCATTTCTCTCAGTCTTACTGAGCTTGTCACAGCTGCTTCATTTGTACTTTGCTAATATGATGCTCTGAATTCCTTTGCGGAAGTTGAAAAGTACTAAGTGAATAATTAAAGGTTCAAAATCCCTGCCTGCACCCATCATCTTAGAAGAAAGGGACAGCAACATTATTAATTTGTTTTAGGAAAAGGATTTTGAAACTCTTAATAACTCTTATGGGCTGTTTAATCTGCACCTTTAATAAGCTCAGGTGAGCAGCTCTGGTAATGAAAGTCTATCCTTAGATGGCTAGTTAACAATGATCATAGGAGACAATCTTTACATTAATCAGATAGCTCATTAGAGAGAAAAGGTCAGAGGAATGGGTATCAAAGATGAAGTTTAATAAACTAGGCAATGCTCTATTGAAATGAACAGATTAAGCTTTCCTGTTATAGAGACTGTCTCATAAGAAAGGGATTTTTCCCTCCCAAAGTTCCAAGTTAGAAAAGAACAGAAAGGCCACAGCTATGTTTTATTTGGACAAGATGTGGATACCAAGGAAGAACATGAGGGTATCCCATGTCTTATTATAATGTGAAGTTCCACAGATGATCAAATGGGTATGTATGAAGTACATGCAAAGTATTAAAATGAAGTACATGCAAAGTATTAAAATGCACACAAGATTCCTTTTCTGCTCAAGAGTAACGAATGTACAGTTCCATTTGGTATCTTTTTTTCTTTAAGTAATTCAATTTCCTATATAACTGGAGATGAGGAAATGTGCCTTATTTTATAGAGAAATTTTAACGAGAATTATGAAAATGTTGGTTTTGTTTAGAGGAAAAATGAAGCTATTTAATGGCACTGTGGGCATTATTTTATTTATATTCCATCTTACCATGAATGCAAAGGAAGATAAGAGTAGCTGTCAATTCTATATGGATCCATGCATGTTGTTAAAAGGAACTCACAAGGCTCCTCAGAGGTCTTGCATGATTGCCCCAAGGCAGGTAAATGTCTGGAAGGGAATCTCTCCTTGGAGAGAACTATTAAATATGGAAGTTATTTCCAGTCCAACTCTTTGACCAAGGATACCCAGCTTTGGCTAAGAGCCATATTTGGCCTTGGAGTGGCATATTGGGAGGCACATGCCAAAAGTAGTTAATCTGACTAAATATGATTTGATTTGCATTTAAATGTTAAATATAACTCTTCGCTCATGTACTTAATAATTCCTTCTTCTGTCACATCAAAACTCACAATTGGGTAACAACTTTTTGAAGGTACTGAAGGCTGCAACTGAGTGTTGAGACTTGAAGCCTCACATTGTGCATCTGTGTTACTAACCCAGTTGCTGTGATGAGAAGAACTTTCTGATCAAGGATATAAAGTCATGATTGTGGAGACTGAAAACTGTGTATTATTCACACTCTGCACTCTGCAGAGTCCAGTAGACTCTGAGTATCATCTGTGTTTAGACTTGGGTGGCTAATTAAAAATAATAATAATAATAATAATAATAATAATAATAATGGTAAAAGACAGTTTTATTTGGAATAGCTTATATCCTGCAATGATACCTTTAACACCATCAAACAACATCTACCTATCCCAGATCCTTGGAAAGGACTCAATAAGTGGATAAAAATGCCAAATCCAGTCTAAGCATCTGGCTGACAGTGCGACCAACCATAATAATAATAATACTCAAGCAGAGGTACAGGTAACACTATTAGTGTTTTGGTGAATACTTGTGAGTTTGTTTTACATTCAAATGGCAAGGCCCCAAAGAAGGTACTACAAGGCATTATACCTCTGAGAGAACTATGACTGTCAAAAAGTCTTGATGTCTTACTGCTCACACTGCGGAGTTCAATGGTTTATTTTTCTGAAGGCAATCAAATGTGGGAAAGAAGTTATTTAACAGGGCTCAGGATTCTGTGCATCTGTTTGTTTATCAGCAAGATAATTCTCCAAAAAATGCAACAAATGGAGGAAGTGGGAGGGTTAATTTTATTGAAGTTAACAAAAAAGGGATAGCTTGAAAACTCTAGGGCCAGATCAGGCCAGAGGCTACAGAGAAAATTTTTTTAGAAGCAATTCCCCAATGCACCTCTATGGGAGAGAGAGCTGGAATATTGCTTAGAATGGAATTCCATTCTAAGCCACTTTCCTGTTTCCCTTTTGGTCAAGAGACTCAGAGTGGAGCACATTCAGCCTGCCTGTGTTTCCCAATGACACATGCATATAAACACACAACGTGAGGGGAGAGCATGAACAGACACACATGCAGCTCATTACTTTGTTATACAGAAGAAAATGCCAACGTCTCCTATGGTCGCTGCTGGTAGGAGTGTGAAAAAATTCCAGAAGCTGTTTTCTGTATGCTTTCTCTACCTTGTTTTATGACTCTCTTTAGCCAAGAATAGGCCAGAATTTTCCATGTTTGAATTAGCATTAAAGTTCAAGTGGTAGAAATGCTAGAAACCTGCTGTGATAAACCTGTTGCATATTAAGCCTATTAAATGGCTTGAAGCATGAAGTAGCATTTCCCTTTGTTCATAGCTTTGCACTGAGGTCCTTCCATGAAGAGTGGGATACAGAAACTAGCTTTAAAAAAATACATTCATCTTTCTGGCCCTGACTTAACCTAGAACTCCAGATTTAATGAGAAAATTGTACTGTGAACTACAGTAGCGTTGAAATTACTTAAAAATCAAGGACTTTAAATGGTTGCCACATTTTGGGGGTATGTTTTTACATCTATAAACAAAGTAACTTACAACTTTTGGGTCTCGGGCCATAGTGTATTCTGCAAGAGGTGATCTTCCGTGGGAGGCTCTGGAAGAAATAATTTGATTCAGTATTGAACACTACTCTCCTTACCCTGAATCTGGTCGGTTTGTCAGCTTTCTGAAGAACCAGCTTTGTCCCAGAACTACATATTGAATTTTTAACATATTGCATACCTGACAGACTACATGGCTGAAAGTAATTTTCATGGTACTGGCTGGAAGCATTACTGAGATTTTCTTCTTCAGTTGTTTGAGCTCTCGTATCTGCAGCTGCAAATGGACAAATGTTACTGCTTTAAAGTCACCAAGTAGGGAATCTGCAAAAAGATGGCATCTGTTAACAAGCACTAAACAGAAAGAAACAACTTCAGTTTCCAGATAAAAAGAATCTAAATACAAGCTAAGCCATTATCTAAACAGCCTGAGTAGGAAAGTTAGAAGAAATTACACTGCAAGATAAAATGAAACAACTTCAGTTTCCAGATAAAAAGAATCTAAATACAAGCTAAGCCATTATCTAAACAGCCTGAGTAGGAAAGTTAGAAGAAATTACACTGCAAGATAAAATAATTGGGCCTCATAATGCAAACCATGACAGGAGCTGGAATACGTTTAACCCTCACAATGGGATGAAAGAAAGAAGCTGGTATAGCAATACATTCAGTTTTCATTATAGACTCTTAAAAGGGGTCATGGTAGAAAAAACACAGTATGAACAAGACAAGACGAATGAGAAGCACTCATTCATTAATGGTGTATTCTTCAAAGTGCTGGACTAGTCCACCCTCAATTAAATATATTGAAACAAAAGAAAAAGAAGACAAGATTATATATCTGTGGAAGGGGGAATGGCAGCCACCCAGAATTACAATAATCAACTTATTACTTTAGGAGTGAGATTTACTCCTCAATAGATATGTATAAGCTTACCCTCAATTAAATATATTGAAACAAAAGAAAAAGAAGACAAGATTATATATCTGTGGAAGGGGGAATGGCAGCCACCCAGAATTACAATAATCAACTTATTACTTTAGGAGTGAGATTTACTCCTCAATAGATATGTATAAGCTTACACTACAAGGCAGTAATTCTATGCCTGTCAGGGTTAGGCACAACTTTGGATTCAATTCCAAAAAGATGCTTTGGAGCTTGCACATAGAACTCCTTTTTTTAAAGCACTGGCACCTTTCCCCAGGATTGTGTGACTGCCATGGACTGCCATTCAATTCTTGGAAAAGACAGAGCTGCTTTAAAGAGCTGCAAGTACTACATTCATGCTTCCACATGTTCTAAAGTGCCTTTTGGAACTGAATCCAAAGCATTGCCAAGCCCCAATGCCCACAAGTATAATCCACAGAACTCAATGAGAACTTCAAAAGTGTGGTATGGTAGTTAAGATGTTGGACGGAGTAGAGGAATCCAGGTTTTAGTTTTCCATTAGCCACAAAAGTTAACTAGGTGACTTGGGTTATTCACTCTTTCTCAGTACACACTATCATACAAGACTGTTGTTGGAAGGAATAACAGGTCTTGTACTTAGATGTATGTGCACACCACATAAAAATACTAACTACTATACCACTTCTGCATATGTAAAGCTGTATTAAAAATATAAATCTAATGGTTATACAGTACATTAGGGCTGTGCAGAGCTTTGGATTCAAAGAGGAAAAATTCCCTGGAGTGGGCAGGACATACTCAGATAGCAGCAGTATACAGGTACCCTCCTCCAGTGCAGGCTGATCCAGGAAAAGATACATTTGTTTTAAAAAGTTACCGACAGCTGCCATGTGAGCATCCCCAATGCAAGTCCAAAGGGATACATGCCCCTCCTATATATACCACTTCATGAAAAACATGTCAGAAACACTGCAACTACCTTACTCCTAAAAGTAAAAGTCCTATTGCTTCATTATCCTGTAATCTGTCTAAGAACACACATCATAGAATGGATTACAATGACATGTATCTATGCCGAAAGTGCAAACTCTGTCCTCAACAGTTGGGATATGGAAGGACAGGCAAGATGTTTAGCTGACGTGCCTTTGATGTCCCCAGGATACTCTTTCCTGGGAGAAAAATGCTGCACTTTAGGGAAATTGTTATGGTTAGATTGTCTGGTCAGGTTTTCCCTGAGGGAATCTCACTAAAAATGCTATACATATCTATATACAGAGCATTGAAAAATGTATACACAGCACACACAGCACACATCTTTGCAAATCATGCCTTCTCCTCACTCAAACATGTACACTCCCACCTGTAATAATAAACACTTTGCTAGTCTTGTGTAATTTCTTAAATTACCTGGATTGCTATGATATGCATGTTCTTTCTTTTAAATTCTCACTGAAATCCCAATGAAATTTCATTCCCAGAATCTGGCTAAAAGTCTGGGACATATCACTTTAGGATTTGTTTGGGTTTTTTCCTCAGGTAATGTTCAAACATTTATTCATTACTTATTCAGGGTTGAAACTTTCTAAACTTCAGTATGTTAATATAAGAATGCAGAATTAACTCAATTGTGTTCATTTTTAACTGCCCCATTGATCCAGAAAAGGGAGATCAAAGATCCTCTGAGAATCCTTATTTCTATTCCTCTACTGACATCTCTTAGAACCATTTAAGCTCTCTAGGCCTATTTCTGAAGCAATTAAAGCTTGTAGTTTCATAACAATTATGCTAAAATTATTAATAAAAGGAAGTTCATCCAAAAAAAGGAAACAACACATACAGAAAAGAATAATGTGATCTAGTCAAGATTGTGAGTCATGAATTATGACTGAATTGCTTCTATTCAAGAATTAAACTTTTCTGAAAATACAGGGGCTGTTACTGAATTCAAACAATATACAAACATGTGAAACCAAGAATTCAAAGCCCAAGTCTAGTTACCCTGCCATCATCTGCTCAAAGTCAACATAGTGTTAATATAGTAACTCCAGTGAACAAAATAAATTGCTCAAAAGAAATTAAATACAATAACCTACAAGGACCTACGTGACAAATAATGTACTGGATAAAGGAAAGCTGTATTATTAAGAACCTTGGGGTAACCCTTGTTATGCTCTTACATTTTATTTAAGTTATAATATGGCATATTTATATGCTGTGTGGCAAGTTAAAAGAACTCAATAGAAGAGCATATATGTAGCTCAGGGTTGAACTGTGGAGTTCTTGATGCTCCTCAGAGCTTGGTTATTTGCTTGCAGATGTTTCATTACCCAACTAGGTAACATCATCAGTTCAACCCTGAGCTACACATATTTGCCTCCACTGCTAACATCATCAGTGCTGATGATGTGTTGATCAGATGATGTTACCTAGTTGGGTAATGAAACATCTGCAAGCAAATAACCAAGCTCTGAGGAGCATCAAGAACTCCACAGTTCAACCCTGAGCTACACATATTTGCCTCCACTGCTAACATCATCAGTGCTGATGATGTGTTGATCAGATGATGTTACCTAGTTAGGTAATGAAACGTCTGCAAGCAAACAACCAAGTTCAGAGAGCACCCAGAGCTCCACAGTATAAGAAATCATTCACTGCAATTTGTAAACCAGATTTAGGCAGGAGTCCCCAGTTTGGGCATATTTTGAGAGCATGAATTGTGGTCTCTTGCAAAATGGATGCCAAGGGCACAGCTGGTAGAAAATACCACTATACCAAAAGGGCAAACTGATAAAAATGCTTCCTCAATTACCGCTCAGATTCCCAGGATACTTTCTACCATGTTAATTTTCCTGCATCCTTTTCTGGGCAGCTGGGAAAACATCGGAGCAAACAGTGGACTTGAATCTCTGAATATATACAGGATCAAGAAGTAGGCTTTGAAATAAATATTATGCATTGCTTTGCAACATGTAAGCTCCCCAACCTTTTCTTTTTTAAAAAAACCCAAAACTTAAAACAATCTTTAAAAAATATCAAGTGAGACATGCAGCCTGATACAGGCTAAAGAGGATCTGAGGTTGGTGATTTAGCTTAGGTATGAACCCAGCCACTATGGCTTATTCAGCAATCCATGGTTAAAATATATTTTGGTCAGTAAAATGTGCATACCCAGCCAGTCTTAGACTTGATTTACTAAAGAGTCTACAATTGGCTGGTTACACAACAACACTGTCCAGCCCCTAACAGTAGTACATGTCCAAAGAAGCAAGATTAATGCATAGTCTCATGAATCAGGGTTAATACCAGGAAAGAGATAAGACAGCAGAATCTAGGAAAATAATCTGTAGCCATTATTTATTAATGAATATATATAAAAGTAGGGTCTCTGTGGCTTATTTTAATTTCTTTCTGCTAGATTTGCTGACAGACTGAAGCCTCGCTTGAGATATAAGGCTGAAATGTCCATCTGTTCTTCATTTGCCATGTTGTGAACAACTCTCCCAAATTCCCAAAGAATACCCTAAGTCAGAAGGCAAGGGTTACAAAAAGTTCACACTCACAAAACCAAACATTATGACTTAGCACAAGGTCCCATTCACACTAATCTGAGAGTAAGTTCCACTGAACTCAGTAATACTTAGTTCTGAAAAGACATGCAGAGGGTTGCACTGCCAGGGGTTTTTGAGACAGAAACAGTTGAATCATCAGGACCTTTGAGATCATTTGATTAGTTAGCCCTGTCCTATTAACTCAAACACATGGCTTCTCTTACAGTCTTAGAGAACGGCTACCGTCCCTTTCTTCTTAAGATTTTGGTGATGGGTATTCAGTAGGAGTATGCAAAATATTTTGAATTCCAACCATTTTGGAATTGAGATGCCCTGTTTCAAGTGCCAAGCAGGCTGTTTTGATCAGTTTGGAAGTGTTTTAAGCCCAAAACTGTTGTGTTTGAAACAAAGCTGCTTTGAGCTCAAAAGACTTCCAGAATTGTCAAGACAACCCACTTAATACTTGAGGCAGCTGTTTGGTGGACAAAATGAGATGTTTAGGGCTTGAAACATGGTGTTTCAAATTTGAGATGGTTTAAATTAAAAATATTTTCCATTTAGTGACCTCCCCCCCCCAATGGTAACCAGCAAAAGCAGAAGTTACTTCATTTTTCAAATATTTTTATTTTTACAGGGAAGGTATTTCATCACCAGAACATAATTATGATAAATATGCAAAACTAACCATACATGAAATCATAATAACTAACTAAATGGTGAATTGGAATATATATAATAGAGCTGAGGAAAACTCAAATTGATTTGGAGAAAATGCTTGGGATCTCACACAGACCTCTGCTAATCATTAAAGCAGCCCAACATTTTTCAGGTTTTGAAGAAAGCCTGAAAAACAGATGCAACTGCTCTAAGAGGTGCAATGAATCAACTCCTTAAAGTAATCTCATCTTTTTTTCAGGCTTGGCAGAAGTTTGAAAAAGGTAGGTGGTTTTAATGAGTAACACTCATTATACTATGTTCATGAGAAGCACTACTTTCAAATCATTTCCAAACTATACACAGGTCTGAAGGAAGGAAGGAAGGAAGGAAGGAAGGAAGGAAGGAAGGAAGGAAGGACATTTAGATGCTGCAACAAACCATGGTTTAACATAATGGGAACAAGCACAGGTAACTGTGGAGTCCTTGGGGTTCTCTGAGCTTGGTTGTTTTCTTGCAAAGTTTCATTACCCGGCTAGGTAACATCTTCAGGGCTAAAATGGGATGGGGTTTGTTCTCTGTTTATATACAGTGGCATGTTCCAGTCCAGAACATCTCCTCACCAGCAATCATCACCCAGATAAGCAGAGATTAACACTAAGATTATCACTAGACATAACAATCAAGCAGCAAACAATATTCTAATCAAGGAACTACCACAGGGAGGAAAAATAAAACAGAATCCACACCCCCACTAACACTGGTAGGGCATTAGTTGATATAATTAGTTTTAGTATTGCTTTTCCTTATAACAATCTGATTAATTTTGTGATATACTAAATTTGTTCAAACTAGATACCTTTTTATATTCTATAATTTTTATTACTCTAGTTACCTTCATTTTTCAGATTTCACTTTTAAGTTAATGTGTTTACTTAGTCCTCATATTAACTACTTCTTGTTTTCATTGGTTGGTTTCTTGGGGAGGGGGGTTATAATGTTTTGTTGAGTTGTGTTTTACAGCTAAGATTGTTCTTACTGGATTGCTATAAATTTTGTTATATAATTTAATCAGTTTCATAATCCACAAATTGAAGCTTGTTTATTTTAAACAGACCATATTTAATATTAACTACATTGTATATGTGTTTATACATTATACTTAAGGCATGGTTTGTTTTAACCACTGTTAACAAGTTACAGTGATTGAGTTCATATGTACTGATAAGCAATATACCAAACAAACTATCTTATGGTTTAAACTGATATGTAAAGCCATATTTTGCCAACTTAACAACAAAATGGAAATAGAAGTTTCCAAGTTTCTCCTTGTAACTAAACAAAATTTCCAGATGACAGAAACTTTTCACTATGCAGATATTTTGGACTGCAAGTCTCAGTATCTCTAATTATTTGAACATGCTAATTTGAATTATGAGATTTATAATCCTAAACATCTGGAGGACACTAGGAACTCCCTGCATCAACTAAGGATCACCCATTTCCCAGCTAATTTCTCTCATCAACCTGGACAAGCACAAATATGATCAAATAAGCACTCATATAAACAAATACAAAATTAGATACACATATAGACAAATATTACCTTGAAAGACAGCCTTATTGGACAAACCTAAGGCTGGTACAGTAGCCCCTTCTGGAAGATCCACCATTTGCTAAAAAGAAAAATGTTATTTATGATTATCTGAATCTTCTCATTTATAAATATAGCCTTCTTACAAGTTTGGCCTTCAATATAACTTTGCATAAGTCAAAAATCTAAAATGTGGTATATATGTTACTAAAGAATTTCTAGAAAAATCTCAAACTAATTTAAAATCTTTGCCTCAGTTTCAATTTTCCAGGTCATACAGAATTACATGACTATTGAGTTCACACATCATGATAACCCATATTCTGTTCAACCATGTTTATTGAATAAAGCACAGCTGTTTGGGTCTGTACCCCATATTATGTAAAAAACCATGGTTTTAAGTCACAAACACTGTCTTCACAAAACATCTTAAGAAGTAACAAGCATACCGTACAGCACAGATTATGAGCATAGTCTAAGAATTTTGATTTGTGACTAAGCAGATGTTCAAATTTAAAATTATATTCATGTCTCCACCAAAAGGAAGTTTAGTACTACACACTTTAAACTCAATCCTCAGCATCACTAAAGTAGTATTTGGCAACCATAGCTCATAGACCTAGCCCACGGAGTAGACCAGATCAGGAAGCTGACTCCACAGGAAGACTAGAACTAGAGTATAGTTCTAGAGTACAGAGTAAGTCCAGAGTATAGTTTTAGTCTTCTTATGGATTCAGTTTCCTGACCAGGTCTATCTCACAGGGCTGGCAATACCATTAATTCTGTCTGTGCCATTTTTGGTCTCTTCTGTTAAAATAAGAGTGGGAATGAGAGTCAAAGGCCTCTAGGAGCTTCTTGTTCCATTATTCTTTAAACTCCATTTCCAATTCCCCTCAAATAGCCTAAAACTGTAGTTTTCAGTCTGATTTTACCCCATTTTTGTCATTCTGGGAAGTTTTAGTGGTAGCAATGGGAACAGGGAGCCTCTCGGAGGCAAGCTATTCCTATGTCCACTTTTACAAATCTCAATAACCCCCCAAATTATGGCCCTAAATTATGCCCCAAAGAGGCTATTATGGGGCGGGGGCTTAAGAGTGGAGATGAGTGTGGATTGACTCATTGAGACATCTTGTTCCTGTTCTCCCCCTGCCCTCCCAAAAAAACACACCCTGGAAAAGGTTGATCCTACCCTCTCCAATGATATTATAACATTCTCAGATGGACTCCAAAAGGTCAGGAGGCTCATTTATAGCCCCTGAACACTAAAACTACAACCACCCTTGAAGTAAAGAATTTCTGAGTTCATTCAGTATTTCTGTAACCTATGTTTAAAAATGTGCTTGAATTCAAATGAGAGATGCAAACATCAAATGTAGCAGACAGCAATGTTTCTTCTTTAAAAGCCAGTGAATACACAACTTACCCCAGAATATAATTTCTCCAGAGATATTCCAGAAGTACTGCTGAAGTTTTCAATGAAATTCCTAGGTGCCGTAAATACACGAAGCACTTTCTCATCTGCTCCAGACACAAACTGAAACCGCCCTGTCAGTGCTATACACTGCATATCGTACCCATGGACTTGAGGTCTTGCCATTTCATGCCATGAGACCTAGTAAAAGGACCATCACATTTATACAAGTACCAATCTTAGAATCTATAGAGAAAAGTATCCAAGAATTTAAATGTTAAGTCCCATCAATCTATTGTCAATTTTAGAATTACATTTTGCTGAAAATACACATTCAGTTCATTTCCTACAGAAAATGCATTCTTGCCTTTATCCAAATCTCATTGGAAATGCCAGGAATCCCCTCTCATTAATAAATAATTGAGACAGACTCCTGGCATATCCAATACATCACAGAAAAGGACCAAATCCCTACCCTGTTCCAAAATACAACTCTGTCCCCCAGTTTAGCCTCCCCCTGAATTTTTCTTTAACAATCTGTTTTCCTCACTAGAAACAGAATATGATCAACACTATGTTGCATGAATAATGATATAATTAAGTGTAATTATAGACCATATCTTGTTTTTAAATGACTCTTTCCAATATAAACTTCTAAATGTTTATACTCATGTGATACTGTCATAATACCATAGTAGCTAACTACTGAACAATAGGAATACAATACGAATGCATTTAGGAGAGTTTAAGAAATGTTAAGAAAAGCTATTGCTCAGATTTCGTATTCTGCTGGGGAAAAAATCATTTGTTTTAGAACTATCAAAACTTGGCTGTAAAAATCCTTACAACTTCCAGGGTTAGAGATTTCTCTATCTCTTTGCTGCCATTCAATGGTCATCCAGATTTTTGCAGTTCAGAGATGCTAGCTCAAATCTATCTACAAGAGTTGTGCACAAAACAAATACATTGTGGCCGGGAAGTTTGGCATAATAATATCTTGGTTGTTCTGGGTTTTGGCAGAGCCAAATTCTATAGGATTCTTATGGGACAAGTAGGGCAAGCTTAGGGCACTTCTCCCCTCTTCCTCTGCAGGGTCCATGCACCAGCCTGGCCACCAATCTTCCTAGCACCTTCTTTTGCTGAGCTCCCTTTTGCCCTGTTTAGTGTTTTCACCACCCTTGAATTCAAGTCCAGCATATCCAACCGACCCACCGACCCTTCCCTAACAGCAACGTTAGCTGTGGTAGCTAAGGAGAACTAGGAAAGTAAGGTGCTGCGAAGCTCAGAGGGAGTCAGTTTGATACATTGTATTTGAACCAGTGGACTGGTCAGATATTTCATGTGACAAGAGCATGTGGCAGCAGAATAGCCAACTGGACTCCCTGCCCTCCCCTCTCCCAATCTTCCCAATGCCCTGCTCTCCCTATCTCTGCCTTTTTCCCACTCTGCCAGAACATGTGTGTTTTAGGTTCATATCCAGATCAAATATGCACATCGTCAGCCTCATTAGGCAGACCAGACCAGAAAATCAACTCCATAGGAAATTAGAACTATAATTTATTGAGATAGGCAATAAAAACAGAATCCTGGAGTCTGACTATGCTATCCTTCTCCTCCTTCCTCCTCTCTCCTGTGAATCAGGGAGCAGTTTGCCTGAGCCGCTTCTGAATATTATCTTGCTTCCCAAGACTTAAAGAATGTTTCAGTCCTCTTTGTCTAGTAACTGTTCTTACCTATTCTATCAAGATCATCTCCCTCACTCTCTACACACATTGAATCCATGCCCAGAAAAAATACTCATATTTCAGTCTGGAAATGGACCATTTGAAACTAGCTATACCATCCACATAATTTCGCAAGCTTGCAAAAAATACCTCTGGGTTGTTCTCTCTTTTCCATGGAGCGAATATCCTTGTTGTTTGGTCAGAACCAACAGAGATTATAAAGTCTCCCTCTGGATCCCACTTCACATCTTGAACACAATTAAAATGGCCTGAAATCATCACTTCTGGAGCCCATTCTCTCTATTAAATCAAAAACATTTATATTGTAAATCCATGAATGGGGTAAAAAGTATTTGTTAGATACAGCATTCTCTTCATTGAAGAACTATATCCAAAGTTGAAAAACATTTTAAGTTTATTTATTTGATTTATATTGCACCTTTAATTCTGGAGCTCAAGGAAGTAGACATAACACTCCCTCCTCCTATTTTTTCCACAACAATCCTGCAAGGTAGATTGATCTGAGAAAGAGTGTGGCTGATCCAAAGTCAACCAACAAGCTTCTGTGGTTGAAAGGTAAATTTCAACTTGAATCTTCCCACTCCTTAAGCACTACAACACATTGATTTAACAAAACCTAATGGCCAATGAAGGATGGGCATCAAAAGATCACTGTAAAGGACAAAGAACCTTAAATGGCATCCTTAGATGATAAAACATGCCGGTTTTTTAAAAATGTTTATAACAAAGGAAACAGACACTTTTAAGCTGCCTGGGATGCACAACATTTTTGGGGCTGAGGGCCACACTTGGTCTTAGAATAGCATGCTGAGGTTGCACTCAAGAAAAGGAGGTGAAGCCAGGACTAAAACTACTTTTGATTTAGCTTACAAGTAGTCCTTGCTTAATGAATGCCTTGTTTAGCAACCGTTCAAAGTTATGGTGGCACTGAAAAAGTAACTTTATGACCAGTCCTCACACAACTGCTGCAGCATCCCCACAATCACGTGATCAAGATTCAGGTGCTTTGCAACTGGCGGGCATTTACAACCATCACAATGTCCCGCGGTCACATGATCACCATTTGCATACATCACACCTGGCTTCCGACAAGCAGTCAATGGAGAAGCCGGCAATAAAATCACCAGTCATGGTCACATGATGTCTCACTTAAGGACTGTGAATGATTTGCTTAACAGCGGAGGCAAAAGTGAGATCATAAGTCCATCACGGTCATGTGATATCTCACTTAATGTCCGTGCCACTTAGCAACGGAATTGCCAATCCTAGTTATGGTTATTAAGCAAGGACGTGTACTTTTAAATTTAATTCACATTTAAATTTAATTAAAATGATATGGCTAATGTGGATATTCCCATTATCTTTACTTACCATTTCTTCTCTCACACTAAAAATCACAGTACAGAAATACCTCTGGAACCTGGGCCCAAATCTTCCAGGGACCATATGCAGCCCTGGGGCTTCAGCTGTAGAATCCTAAACAATAGCTTGGGAACAGACTCTGTCCAATGGTACAGCAGATACTGTTCAAGCAGAACATAATGAGTCCAGATCAGGGTGCTGTAGTAAAAACGAATTCAGGTAGTGGGCCTTAAAAGGTCTCTGTCACAGTCCTGGGAAAGCTCTGTTGCGGAACGAGATCATCCGGGGCCAGATGGACAAAAGCTGATCCACCCAAAAGTAACTTCACAAAGCCATTTGTTTTTCTCACCCACAAAGGCCTACAAGTCTATCCTAATTATCCAAACTTATTTAATTGAACTTGTTTGCTATTTATCATAGTTCAGAAAGGAAAAAAAAACCCTCCTCAATGCTGTAACTTATAAAAGATGTTTAAAAATATATAATTTGTTACATGGAATGAGCAAAGAGCCATTTTTTCCTATATAAAGATATTCTATATATGCTTTTGTGATAGAAATAAACTCTCTCTTGCCTTGTTTGCAGAAGTCTGTTTCCAAAGATGAAGTGCTCCATGGAAAGCGTGAGCAAGAATCATTGAGCCATCTGGGCTGAACTGACAG